AGCTCATCCCCACCAGTGTGTGAATGTGTGTGGGAATGGGTGAATGACTGATTTTGTTTTTACACGTATATTTTTAAACGTATTATGTGTCACGTTCTGCCCCTGCCTTCCTGACTGTGTCTCTCTCCTGCCCTGGTTAGCCCTTATTGTTCTCACCTGCCCCTCGTTAACCTGCCCATGTGTTCCTGATTTCCCTTTATACCTCCCTCCTTGTACCAGTCTTCTTCGGATCATTGTATGTGCATGTGCTTGTTTGTCCTGTCGTTCCCGTTCCACCATTAAAATCATTTTTATTTTTCATCCGTGCCTGCTCTCCTGCCTCCTGAACTCTGCACCACACATGGTCTGCCATCTCCACTCCTCCCAACATGACAGAATGATCCGACCAACCTGGACCTGTGGTGAGCATTGGATTTTTTTTCTCCCATTTCAGCGGAGGGAGATTCTGGCCTGGAGTTTTGTGTTTTCGGCGCATCCTACCTGTTCTCGGGGTGGTCGAGCCCTCTGGGAGATCCTGGAGCATCCTGTCTGTTTTCGGGGTGGTCGGGGTCATTTCTCCTCTCCTGCTGTTCTGCCCCATCCTGTTTTTCACGGAAGCTGCTTTTCCTGGAGTTTTTGATGGAGGTAAAACCCCCTACGCATGCCAACATTCTCTGGAGTGGTAGGGCTGGTCTTCCTGCTCCATGTCTGCTTCCCTTCACCCGAGCCTCCGCCTGATGGATCCAGTCGAGTCATGGTGTGCACCTGCTCAGGACTGTTGCCGAGAACCTGCTACCACTCCTGGTTTCCTCGCGTCGCTCCTGCTGTTCGTCCTGCTTCCTGGTTCACGCCTGCAGGGTCTATGCCTGCAGGTCCTTCATGCTGCAGTCTCTGCTGGGTCCCACGCCTGCTGCTGCAGTTCTCTGCTGAGTCCCACGCCTGTTGCTGCAGTTCTCTGCTGAGTCCCACGCCTGCTGCTGCAGTTCTCTGCTGGGTCCCACGCTTGCTCCTGCAGTCTACTGGGTCCCACGCCCGGCTGCTGCAGTTTTCCTGTTCCTATTGTCGAGTCAAATACTTCCTGTGTCGAGTCAAAGAGTTCCTGTGTCGAGGTAAGTGTTTCCAGTTCCCCGAGTCAAGTGTTTCCAGTTCCCCGAGTCAAGTGTTTCCAGTTCCCCGAGTCAAGTGTTTCCAGTTCCCCGAATCAAGTGTTTCCAGTTCCCCGAGTCAAGTGTTTCCAGTTCCCTGAGTCAAGTGTTTCCAGTTCCCCGAGTCAAGTGTTTCAGAGTCCCCGAGTCAAGTGTTTCAGAGTCCCCGAGTCAAGTGTTTCCGAGTCCCCGAGTCAAGTGTTTCCGAGTCCTCCCGAGTCAAGTGTTTCCGAGTCCCCGAGTCAAGTGTTTCCGAGTCCCCGAGTCAAGTGTTTCCGAGTCCTCCCGAGTCAAGTGTTCCGAGTCCTCCCGAGTCAAGTGTTCCCGGGTCTCCTGTGTTATGTGGCCTTGTGGGCGTCTGGTATCCGCCCCTTAAGGGGGGGGGGGGGGTACTGTCACGTTCTGCCCCTGCCTTCCTGACTGTGTCTCTCTCCTGCCCTGATTAGCCCTCATTGTTCTCACCTGCCCCTCGTTAACCTGCCCATGTGTTCCTGATTTCCCTGTGTATTTATACCTCCCACCTTGTACCAGTCTTCGTCGGATCATTGTATGTGCATGTGCTTGTTTGTCCTGTCACTCCCGTTCCACCATTAAAATCATTTTTATTTTTTCATCCGTGCCTGCTCTCCTGCCTCCTGAACTCTGCACCACACATGGTCTGCCATCTCCACTCCTCCCAACATGACAGAATGATCCGACCAACCTGGACCTGTGGTGAGCATTAAATTCTGTTCTGGAGGATTTTTTTTCTCCCATTTCAGCGGAGGGAGATTCTGGCCTGGAGTTTTGGGTTTTCGGCGCATCCTACCTGTTCTCGGGGTGGTCGAGCCCTCTGGGAGATCCTGGAGCATCCTGTCTGTTTTCGGGGTGGTCGGGGTCATTTCTCCTCTCCTGCTGTTCTGCCCCGTCCTGTTTTTCACAGAAGCTGCTTTTCCTGGAGTTTTTGATGGAGGTAAAACCCCCTACGCATGCCAACATTCTCCGGAGTGGTAGGGCTGGTCTTCCTGCTCCATGTCTGCTTCCCTTCACCCGAGCCTCCGCCTGATGGATCCAGTCGAGTCATGGTGTGCACCTGCTCAGGACTGTTGCCGAGAACCTGCTACCACTCCTGGTTTCCTCGCGTCGCTCCTGCTGTTCGTCCTGCTTCCTGGTTCACGCCTGCAGGGTCTATGCCTGCAGGTCCTTCATGCTGCAGTCTCTGCTGGGTCCCACGCCTGCTGCTGCAGTTCTCTGCTGAGTCCCACGCCTGTTGCTGCAGTTCTCTGCTGAGTCCCACGCCTGCTGCTGCAGTTCTCTGCTGGGTCCCACGCTTGCTCCTGCAGTCTACTGGGTCCCACGCCCGGCTGCTGCAGTTTTCCTGTTCCTATTGTCGAGTCAAATACTTCCTGTGTCAAGTCAAATACTTCCTGTGTCGAGTTAAGTGTTTCCAGTTCCCCGAGTCAAGTGTTTCCAGTTCCACGAGTCAAGTGTTTCCAGTTCCCCGAATCAAGTGTTTCCAGTTCCCCGAGTCAAGTGTTTCCAGTTCCCTGAGTCAAGTGTTTCCAGTTCCCGAGTCAAGTGTTTCAGAGTCCCCGAGTCAAGTGTTTCAGAGTCCCCGAGTCAAGTGTTTCCGAGTCCTCCCGAGTCAAGTGTTTCCGAGTCCCCGAGTCAAGTGTTTCCGAGTCCCCGAGTCAAGTGTTTCCGAGTCCTCCCGAGTCAAGTGTTCCCGGGTCTCCTGTGTTATGTGGCCTTGTGGGCGTCTGGTATCCGCCCCTTAAGTTTGGGGGGGGGGGGGGGGGGGGGGTACTGTCACGTTCTGCCCCTGCCTTCCTGACTGTGTCTCTCTCCTGCCCTGATTAGCCCTCATTGTTCTCACCTGCCCCTCGTTAACCTGCCCATGTGTTCCTGATTTCCCTGTGTATTTATACCTCCCACCTTGTACCAGTCTTCGTCGGATCATTGTATGTGCATGTGCTTGTTTGTCCTGTCACTCCCGTTCCACCATTAAAATCATTTTTATTTTTTCATCCGTGCCTGCTCTCCTGCCTCCTGAACTCTGCACCACACATGGTCTGCCATCTCCACTCCTCCCAACATGACAGAATGATCCGACCAACCTGGACCTGTGGTGAGCATTAAATTCTGTTCTGGAGGATTTTTTTTTCTCCCATTTCAGCGGAGGGAGATTCTGGCCTGGAGTTTTGTGTTTTCGGCGCATCCTACCTGTTCTCGGGGTGGTCGAGCCCTCTGGGAGATCCTGGAGCATCCTGTCTGTTTTCGGGGTGGTCGGGGTCATTTCTCCTCTCCTGCTGTTCTGCCCCGTCCTGTTTTTCACAGAAGCTGCTTTTCCTGGAGTTTTTGATGGAGGTAAAAACCCCTACGCATGCCAACATTCTCCGGAGTGGTAGGGCTGGTCTTCCTGCTCCATGTCTGCTTCCCTTCACCCGAGCCTCCGCCTGATGGATCCAGTCGAGTCATGGTGTGCACCTGCTCAGGACTGTTGCCGAGAACCTGCTACCACTCCTGGTTTCCTCGCGTCGCTCCTGCTGTTCGTCCTGCTTCCTGGTTCACGCCTGCAGGGTCTATGCCTGCAGGTCCTTCATGCTGCAGTCTCTGCTGGGTCCCACGCCTGCTGCTGCAGTTCTCTGCTGAGTCCCACGCCTGTTGCTGCAGTTCTCTGCTGAGTCCCACGCCTGCTGCTGCAGTTCTCTGCTGGGTCCCACGCTTGCTCCTGCAGTCTACTGGGTCCCACGCCCGGCTGCTGCAGTTTTCCTGTTCCTATTGTCGAGTCAAATACTTCCTGTGTCGAGTCAAATACTTCCTGTGTCGAGTTAAGTGTTTCCAGTTCCCCGAGTCAAGTGTTTCCAGTTCCACGAGTCAAGTGTTTCCAGTTCCCCGAATCAAGTGTTTCCAGTTCCCCGAGTCAAGTGTTTCCAGTTCCCTGAGTCAAGTGTTTCCAGTTCACCGAGTCAAGTGTTTCAGAGTCCCCGAGTCAAGTGTTTCCGAGTCCCCGAGTCAAGTGTTTCCGAGTCCCCGAGTCAAGTGTTTCCGAGTCCTCCCGAGTCAAGTGTTTCCGAGTCCCCGAGTCAAGTGTTTCCGAGTCCCCGAGTCAAGTGTTTCCGAGTCCCCGAGTCAAGTGTTTCAGAGTCCTCCCGAGTCAAGTGTTCCGAGTCCTCCCGAGTCAAGTGTTCCCGGGTCTCCTGTGTTATGTGGCCTTGTGGGCGTCTGGTATCCGCCCCTTAAGGGGGGGGGGGGGGGGGGGTACTGTCACGTTCTGCCCCTGCCTTCCTGACTGTGTCTCTCTCCTGCCCTGATTAGCCCTCATTGTTCTCACCTGCCCCTCGTTAACCTGCCCATGTGTTCCTGATTTCCCTGTGTATTTATACCTCCCACCTTGTACCAGTCTTCGTCGGATCATTGTATGTGCATGTGCTTGTTTGTCCTGTCACTCCCGTTCCACCATTAAAATCATTTTTATTTTTTCATCCGTGCCTGCTCTCCTGCCTCTTGAACTCTCCACCACACATGGTCTGCCATCTCCACTCCTCCCAACATGACATTTGTCAAATTTCTAATACATGCTCTTATTGGAAAAGATTCTGGATTAGTTCAGCACACGAAACGCAGTCAGTGTGAATGACAGTCAGTCCAGCATGCCCCGAAAACTGGACTGCATCCAAACTGAAACAGGCAGACAGAATATGGTGGATCTGACTGGAGTAGTAAATACTCCTGTTGATTGAATTGACTTTGATGAAAATAAACCTATTTATAGTAAAATGGGGTATTTGTGATGATTTAAAACCATTTTTGCAGTGACTTTTGATTACATAATCAACAGTTGGTTGAGGTGTGAGGACTCCTCCCTCCCTCTCCTGTCTTCTTCCTCCTCCTCCTCTTCCTCCTCCTCCACCATGCTGTGTTTGGTGACAGGATTTCAGTGCTGACCCGCTGTGTGTTTTTCAGACTGACTGGATGAGTTAACGAAGCTCCTGCAGACATTTTATCATCTTCAGAGCTTCCAGCAGACACGGACCACCTCATCGGCTCTCAGCGCTGACGACACCGACGTCTCCTCGCCTGTGAGCGCTGAACGCGGCGTTTTAACTCCGGTGGTTTCGCGGTCAGAGAGCCGAGGACAGGTGGAGCTGCTCGGGCTACCTGTTCGCTCCCCCCGACCCCCCACCAGGGCTGTCGGGTTCGGGTTTTGGGTCCTCCTGCTGCATACCTACTGACCCACTTCTCCGTGAGTTCATAAACACCGCGGTGTCTGCGTTTTAAGGAGATGAGTGGTGTTGTGGAAGCCGTGGTAACCCGGCGGGGAGAGCGCCAGTAAAAAGCACAGACGAAGAATCAGAAGGGAGGAGAAGAGCCAGCGATGACCGCATCTGCTCACCTGGAACCCGGGCTGCTGCTGCTGCTGCTGTTGGCCTGCTGCTGGCAGACACCCGGGAGGGTCGGTGGAAGTAAGTCTGCTGCTCTTAGTGGTTTTTCCCTCATCCTTAATATTTATAATATTATATCATAATCATATATATATATATATATATATATATATATATATATATATATATATATATATATATATAATGTACAAAACTATAATTTAACTAAATTGCCGACTCTCTTTCCTTGGGTTTTATATTAGATTTGGTATCTTGTTCATTTATGTTTTAATTCATAATTTAATATAGTTAATTATTTTTGTTTTATTCGTTGCTGTATTTATCTATTATTTATTTTTACAAATTTCGTTCAGCTCTAGTTATTTTTTTAAACTTATTTAGCTAAAGAACTAAATTATACTCGTCTCGTCTCGTCTTCCTCCGCTTATCCGGGTCCGGGTCGCGGGGGCAGCATCCCAACTAGGGAGCTCCAGGCCGTCCTCTCCCCAGCCACCTCCACCAGCTCCTCTGGTAGGACCCCAAGGCGTTCCCGGACCAGATTGGAGCTGTAACCTCTCCAACGTGTCCTGGGTCGACGCTGGGGCCTCCTTCCAGCAGGACATGCCCGAAACACCTCCCCAGGGAGGCGTCCAGGAGGCATCCTGACCAGATGCCCAAACCACCTCAACTGGCTCCTTTCGATCCGGAGGAGCAGCGGTTCTACTCCGAGTCCCTCCCGAATGTCCGAGCTCCTCACCCTATCTCTAAGGCTGAGCCCGGCCACCCTACAGAGGAAACTCATTTCGGCCGCTTGTATCCGCAATCTCGTTCTTTCGGTCATTACCCAAAGCTCATGACCATAGGTGAGGATTGGGACGTAGATCGACCGGTAAATCGAGCCTGGCTTTCTGGCTCAGCTCCCTCTTCCCCACGACAGATCGGCTCAGCGTCCGCATCACTGCAGACGCCGAGCCAATCCGCCTGTCGATCTCCCGATCCCTCCTACCCTCACTCGTGAACAAGACCCCGAGATACTTAAACTCCTCCACTTGAGGTAGGACCTCTCCCCCGACCCGGAGGTGGCAAGCCACCCTTTTCCGGTCGAGAACCATGGTCTCAGATTTGGAGGTGCTGATCCTCATCCCAGCCGCTTCACATTCGGCCGCGAACCTACCCAGCAAGAGCTGAAGGTCAGAGCTGGATGAAGCTAGGAGGACCACATCATCCGCAAAAAGCAGAGACGAGATTCTCCTGCCACCAAACTCGACACACTCCACACCACGGCTGCGTCTAGAAATTCTGTCCATAAAAGTGATGAACAGAACCGGTGACAAAGGGCAGCCCTGGCGGAGTCCAACCCTCACTGGGAACAGGTCCGACTTACTACCGGCTATGCGGACCAAACTCACGCTCCTCTGGTAAAGGGACTGAATGGCCCTTAACAGAAAGCCACCCACCCCATACTCCTGGAGCGTCCCCCACAGGGTGCCCCTGGGGACACGGTCATAAGCCTTCTCCAAATCCACAAAGCACATGTGGATTGGTTGGGCAAACTCCCATGCCCCCTCCATCACCCTTGCAAGGGTATAGAGCTGGTCCACAGTTCCACGGCCAGGACGAAAACCACATTGCTCCTCCTCTATCTGAGATTCAACTATCGATCGGACCCTCCTCTCCAGTACCTTGGAGTAGACCTTTCCAGGGAGGCTGAGGAGTGTGATCCCCCTATAGTTGGAACACACCCTCAGGTCACCCTTCTTAAAGATGGGGACCACCACCCCGGTCTGCCACTCCCTAGGAACTGCCCCCGATGACCACGCAATGTTGTAGAGACGTGTCAACCATGACAGCCCTACAACATCCATAGCCTTGAGATACCCAGGACGAACCTCATCCGCCCCCGGGGCTCCGCCGCTGTGTAGTTGTTTGACTACCTCAGCAACTTCTGCCCCCGAGATCGGACAGTCCATCCCCAGGCCTCCCAGCTCTGGTTCCTCCTCGGAATGCGCATTGGTGGGATTGAGGAGCTCCTCAAAGTATTCCTTCCACCGTCCGACTATAGCCTCAGTTGACGTCAGCAGCTCCCCATCCCCACTGTAAACAGTGTGAGCGAGTTGCTGCCTTCCTCTCCTGAGGCGCCGGACAGTTTGCCAGAACCTCTTTGGAGCCGATCGATAGTCTTTCTCCATGGCCTCACCAAACTCCTCCCACGCCCGAGATTTTGCCTCGGCAACTGCCACTGCTGCACCCCGCTTGGCTATCCGGTACCTGTCTGCTGCCTCCGGAGACCCACAGACCAGCCACGCCCTGTAGGCCTCCTTCTTCAGCCTGACGGCTCCCCGAACCTCTGGTGTCCACCAGCGGGTACGGGGGTTGCCACCACGACTGGCACCGGCCACCTTACGACCACAGCTAGCAACAGCCGCCTCGACAATCGCAGAGTGGAACAAGGCCCACTCGGACTCAATGTCCCCCACTGCTCTCGGGACGTGGTCAAAGCTCTGCCGGAGGTGGGAGTTGAAGACCGTCTTGACAGGTTCTTCTGCCAGGCGTTCCCAGCAGACCCTCACTATGCGTTTGGGTCTGCCAGGTCTACGCGGCATGTTCCCTTGCCATCTGATCCAACTCACCACCAGGTGGTGATCAGTTGACAGCTCCGCCCCTCTCTTCACTCGGGTGTCCAAAACATACGGCCGCAGGTCAGATGATACGACTACAAAATCTATCATCGACCTGTGACCTAGGCTGCCCTGGTACCAAGTGTACCGGTGGGCATCCTTATGTTCGAACATGGTGTTCGTTATGGCCAAACTGCGGCTTGCACAGAAGTCCAATAACGAAACACCACTAAAGTTCAGATTAGGTGGGCCGTTCCTCCCAATCACACCCCTCCAGGTCAAGCTGTCATTGCCCACGTGAGCATTGAAGTCCCCCAGCAGGACAATGGAGTCCCCTGATGGAGCACTATCTAGCACTCGTCCCAGGGACTCCAAGAAGGGTGGGTACTCTGAACTGATATTTGGCCCATAAGCACAAACAACAGTCAGGAGTCAGGACCCGTTCCCCGACCCGAAGGCGCAAGGAAGCTACCCTCTTGTCCCCCGGGGTAAACCCCAACACACAGGCAGAGAGTCTCGGGGCTAACAAAAAGCCAACCCCAGCCCTCCGCCTCTCACCCGGAGCAACTCCAGCAAAGTAGAGTGTCCAACCCCTCTCCAGGTCTCGGGTTCCAGAGCCAATGCAATGTGTCGAGGTGAGTCCGACTATATCTAGCCGGTACCGCTCAACCTCTGCCACAAGCTCCGGCTCCTTCCCCGCCAGCGAGGTGACGTTCCATGTCCCAAAAACTAGTTTTCTTGTCCGGGGATTGGACCGCCAAGGCTACCGCCTTGGTCTGCCACCCGATTCGCATTGCACCGGACCCTTCATGTTCCTCCTGCGGGTGGTGGGTCCACAGTTGGACGAGCCCATGTATCCGGTTCGGGCTGGGCCCGGCCGGGCCCCATGGGCGAAAGCCCGGCCACCAGGCGCTTGCTCACGGGCCCCAACCCCAGGCCTGGCTCCAGGGTGGGACCCCGGTAACCCTCCGGGCCGGGTACTCCGACTCTTCGTTTTAACCGCCATGAAAGATCCTTCGAACCGTTCTTTGTCTCACCCTTCACCTAAGACCAATTTGTCATGGGAGACCCTACCAGGGGCACTAAGTGCCCCAGACAACATAGCTCCTAGGATCATTAGGGCACTCAAACTCCTCCACCACGATAAGGTGACGGTTCAAGGAGGAGACTAAATTATACACTTGAGGTAATTTTAATTCCTTTAATCAGAACCTGGGGTGTTATATAATTTAAAAAAATACATCTGCTGGAGTCCTGAAGTTATTTATTTTGGGCTCATTTTAAACATGGAAATCAATAATTATTTTTCAACAATTTAAAATGTTAATTATTTTAAAACAATCGTTTTTATCCCCAGGGAGGACCAGACACTCTGGAGGTTAAATACCTAAGGGAAATCTCAAGAACTATTCATTAGGGCCATGGGACTCTGTTTTCTGAGGATATGTGGCACTTCAAAAGTCTTTTCCTTTTAAATCTTACTGAAAGAATGGAACCATGTTCAGGCTGCAGGTGGCAGAAGGCTTAATGATTTAGTAATAAAGCTGCAACATTCTGGGTTTCTTATCTGATTTAAACTATTACACTGGATTAGTCATTTATTTTAAATAATCCGCTGGCTGCTTATGCTCAGTGTCACGTTATTAGCTTAAAGTTTAACGTTAAAGTCCCACTAGTTGTCACGCTGTGAAATTTGTTCTCTGCTTTTGACCCATCCCCGTGGGGAGCAGTGGCCCGCAGACACTGCTGCGTTCAGGAACTATTTGTTGGTTTAACCTCCCAATTGAAACCCTTAATGCTGAGTGTCAAGTGGGGAGGCATTGGGTCCCATTTTTAAAGTCTATGGTATGACCTTATCGTGGATTTGAACCCATGAACTCCCAGTTTTAAGGATAGACACTGAGCTGGGCAAAAACCTCGATCCTTTTCGGGACCACTTTAGTTCTTGGTATCATAGATTCATCAAGGTGTTGTAAAAGTTCCTCCAATGTTCTGGTCCATACTTACGTGACATCATCACACAGCTCCATCCATGATGGAAATCTCCAGTTCCACCACATCCCAAAGGTTCATGACTGGACTGAGATCTGGGGACTGTGGAGGTAGTTGGAGTTTGGTTAACTTAACCAACCTTACTTGCTGCTGGGTGTCGGAGGGACCGGTGTCACCTGTGTACAGCAGACTCACCTCTGTCGGTGCGCCCCAGGGCAGCCGTGGCTACAATGTAGCTCATCATCACCAGGGTGTGAATGGGTGAATAACTGATTGTGTTGTAAAGCACCTTGGGGGGTTCCAGGACTCTAGAAGGTGCTATATCAAATACAGGCCATTCACCATTTTCACCATGTGAATTTTTTTGTTCTAGAAACCAGTTAGAGATGATCCAAAATGGTTCAGATGAAAGCAACTGGACTTCTTTGGTTACTTGAGGATGTTTCGCTTCTCATCAGAGGAGCTTTGACA